TACCATTTCATACATATATCTACAATATTTCGTTATAAATCTTTAAAAAGTCTTTCTTATTTATATTTTAAATTATTAAGTTGATTTTTTGAAAAATATTTTTCCAAGTGCAGCCAAGCATTTAAGCCAAGAAAACCCTGGCCATCGAAACAAGGCCGTTGCGTGCCAGCTAAGAGCCCGAAATCAAGGGGTTAATGCATATGCCACACACTCACTGTGGCACTGCCATGGAAAATTATCTATCTGCGGCCCATCCCATCGCATTACCAAATGCAGCAGCTTGAAATACTGTAAAATGTTCCCAAACATTTCGTTGGCCCATGCTAATTATGGCCAGTAAATTAGCTGGCGCGACCTTCGAATCAAAGAGTTGGGTTGAATTTTTTGATAATAAGTCAAAGTATGTCGGTTTTGATTGATTAATTCAAATCGAACTGGGCCATGAATTGAATTTTTAATGGCTCCATAATTTGGCAGCAATTAGGTGGATGTTTGGGTAGGGGCTATGACGTTTGAGGGGTTAGTTGGTTATGAAACGTACAAAAGGGTTCTCAGGATGTAATACCGTTTAATTGAAAAGTCATTTGAGAGACTTTTACAAAGGGCATTCCTGCTTCTACTTTCGCTGACAGAGTTTCCCATTTCTTTGTTAAATTTTTCGTGGGCCTCAGCTCAATCAAGTTGACACTAACACATGTCGGGCCCTAAGTGTTGGCCCCCTTTCCCATCTTCGACTGGGGGAAGGCCTCTATTAATAGCGCATTAATTGATGATTATGTCGGTGGAAAGCGTCGTTGACAAACTACGTATCTGATGGATACATGCAGTTGAAAACGCTCATGCAGTTGTAGGCCTTTGAATGCCGCCATTAATCAAACTGTAGCTGCTGATTTTCGGAGAGCTTTGGCTGCGGTTAAATATTTTGAGCGGCTACACATGTTGCCAGTGTCATAAGCCCAATGATTTGTTGTCGCTGTGTGTTTGTGCGTCTGTGTGAGCCATTTCAGGCCGCAGCGACAGGCTTTGCAACATGCTAAACTCTCAACTATTTACCGCCGAAAAAAAAAGGACGGCGGCGGCGAACTGCAAGTACTGCAAGTGCGAGTATCTTGGCATCGCAACTGCATCCGATAGATACTCAAAACCGCAAACAAGCTGAAGCTTCGCTGAGCCAGATGTTATGGATATCTAGGGGGGATAACTGGGGGCGTTCTATTGTGCGTATTGCGTTCTGCGTTTTGGGTTCTGCGTTCTGCGGTCTCGGCTTTTGGTTTTCTGGCTCTCGTTTCGGGTACGGATTTTGCGTAAAAGTTTTCGAAACATTCCCCAAACTATGGCAAGCATTTTCGTATTCAAAAGCTAGTTGGCTGTCAGCATTCATCTGCTGGTCGTATATATACGGTTAGATAAATGCTAGTACTTATATAGAATTGCGGAAGCCAAAGTTTCGCCAACAACTTTATGGGTATTTATTGATTTTGAAAATAGTTGCGAGCGAGTTGGTCTGATTGATGGTTGCATAGTTGCCATAGAACGCTTTGCCTCTGGATTTTGCCGAGTGGATTCGTGAGATTTCGCAGTGTTGTATGAGATGCGAAGTATTCAAAATGTTGTTGTGCTTTGTTTTGACTCTTTTCGTCAGCGAATAGTTAAAGTTTCAGTTGCCAATTGTGCAGTTGTTGGAGTTATTTACCGGATAATGGCGGCTTTGTGGAATATCAATCTAGTGTGTTTGCCCCACCAGGCCAGTTACTAAGTGGCTGCTTTCCCTGGAATTTGCCCGGCCTAATGCCTAATGCCAATGCAGCTGCTTTTCGCCCCCTGGCAATTACCGGCAACACATGCATTACGCTTCCACCTTCGCATATTGGCCAGGCACTTTACTTGGCCAAAACTTTCGCCTAAATACGCCGAATTCGGGTAAAAGTGAGGCTGCCGGCATTGGCCAGAAGTCTTTCGGGGGCAGCCAAACATTTGCCGAGACACGACTCCAAATTAACACGTAAATTGCAGCGGGTTAACACGCGTTCGAGTGCAGTTGGAAAGTGTTGCCAATCCAAATGCACCGTCTCCGTTTCACATTTAGTTTAAGTCTTTGCCTCTGCAGAGAGAAAAACATAAAAGCCATGAAACAAATATATTTCGTGAACTATTTCGATTTTTTAATTAATTTAGGCTATTTCATAATGGTTACAAACATGATCCATTTTATCTAATGAGATCTGATTTTTGATCAAAGAAATTTTAGTTAATTGAAAAATAAAATTAAAAAAGGTTCCAAATTTAAAAACTAGTACCCAATTAAAATAGATAAATATATAGTTTAGAATTCATTTAAGAAAGCATAAATAGAGGTATGTATTTGTACATATACGCACATATGTTGAAGGTTCAGACTTGTTATTATTCGCGAACACATTAAATACAAAACTATAGAAGGTTAATGTTTTTTGTAATGTAGTAGGTACTGACATCGGATTAAAAGTTTAAAGAAATATATTGAAGTAATTTCTTGTATTTTTTTTTTAAGACAGTTATTTAATAAAGAATTTTTTGCAGGTTCATGGCTTTTTGGAATGTAATAGCTACTGACATCAGATTAAAAGTCTTTAAGAACTATATTGATGAAATTTCTTATATTTGTTTTCGAGACAGTTATTTAATAAGGCTAAGTAAAGGTTAAATTGTGTATTACCAGAGTCGTTAATTTAGCACGTATTGGTTATTTCCGCTTTGGAATACAACAAAATGAACCCTCATTTCACACCATTTTTTTCTGAATGTACCCCTGTCTTAGCCTCGTTAAAGGCTGCTCGCTTGGCCGCCTGACTAGCGGGCCTTGTTACAATTAATTGCATATGCCGTGCTGTATTTTTGCATACCGGCAACATGGTGCAGTTAACAATAAATTAGCGTTTAAAATGCAATGGCGGACCCCCCTTCACCCCTTCACCCCGTGCCCCTTGAGGTCCAACTCGTTAGCCCTGCAAGATCACGCAGACGACGTCGGGCGATCAATCAAGAGCCGGTAATGTCTACCCTTCGCTACACGATAGTTTAGCTGAATTGCGCAATTAATTAGTTTCGTGTTAATGAGCAATGCGCATCATCCCGTGGTCATAACAAGAGCTCCAGACACTCGATGCGACCAGGAATTTTTTAATGGCCTTCTTCGACGGACTGGGACGCAAAGTAAACTAGAAATTTATGGCCATCGGACAGGCTTTGCAATGAAGACTCACTTAAACTTTATGGAGGCCAAAGGGATCCTCCACTCAAAGTCAACGATTTGTGGTAGAACAAAAAACTGTTGAAAGTACAACAAAACTTTTAGCTTCTGTTGAAAGTTACACAGAGTTTGAGGGCAGTGTAAAATAGGAATTAATAATGAAATACCTAAACAATTTTTGAATCCTGAAATGAGAATGTTGGCATAAAATATAGCTAAGGGCTTTTAAAAAGAGTATATTCTCTTGGATAATTTATTATTATATTATATTAGCCCTATAACCATACATTTTTAATTGGTAATACAAAGGAATGCCATAATTGTTTTGCCCAGTGTAAAGCCCTAAAAATAAATGCTGGCTTGCCTTACAGGGATTCACGTTTCCAAGTCATTAGAGGCAGACAGTTTATTTTATTTTTGTGGCTGGTGCTATCAAACATATATTGAATCACATAAAATACAATATTCGAGGCCCCCGTCCGATTTTACCCTTTTATTGTTATTTTTGATAGGCTTCAAAGCGCCACCAGTGCTTCCCCAATGGGATGTCAAAAGTTATGAGCAAACAATTTTCTGCTTAAAAGCGTCTGTCACAAAACTTTTGAGCGCCCCTTGTCAAGCCAAACAAATCCGGTATTGTGCCGCCCATGTCAGGCAATACGTTTCACAATTTGTCTGCAATTACGACAGCCGGAAAAGTTCGGTAGCTGCCCATACTCTTACTTTAAAAATGAAATTCCTACGTGATTCGGTTTTAACGAGATTTGTGTACCCGGCATCAACTATCGACAATGCAAATACAACGTATCGTGTTTTGTAAATTACTACACCAAATGCTGTCCATTGTGGGGCGTGACCCCGCCCCTATTATTTGTCACACAATGCGAAATATCGTGTGTCAGAAATCAGGAATTGATTCAGTTCCTGATTTCCATTGTGGGTCCTTCGAAAACGTTTTGTCGGCGGTGCGTGTTGTATAATGTTTCGCATAGTTTCGCAGCTGAAGTGGTTCGATTCGATCCCAGTTCCTCCCCTTCCTCAGTTGCAAAGTGGCGACAAAGCAAACAGTTTACATTTTCAAGGGACCCTCTGATTCGCTTTTCGAACTGACCGCCTTTCGCTTTATAATTTGACAATCAATTGACAGTTGGTTGGGTAAACAGAAAAACACAAATGCAAACACGCACTGGCAAAACGCAGAAATATGCAACAAAGCCCTTGACAATAAAAATGTAGAAATATAGAAAAATAAAATATCAAATAACTTGGCAAAAACTATTTGAGAGCAAATTGCGTTGGCCAACTTCGATTTCCCCATGACATTAGTTAAGTGCCGGAAACTGAGTGCTTGTGTGCGCAGCTGGGATTGCCACACAACCTTTGATCTGTCATTCACTTGCATTTAGTTTTGATGTATTTTTATATCTTTTTGTACCAGTCGAATTTGTGTTTCCCCTAGCAATAGAAGGAATTTAGTTTTTCTTATTTAAATCGCCTTTGTCCATACTAATTAAATTATTTAATTGCCTATGTTTTTTTTTTAATTCAATTTTTGTAATTTTATATCTTTAATTACTTTTTTTGAATTTGTTTGAGTTGCATTATGATAATTCTTTTTAATAAAAAGCTGTTTGTGGACTGGGATAAAAGGTCGAGGAAAATGCTAATTTTTGCCTTACTTTATATGTTGCACAAAAATTATGAAGCTCTGTTTGGTACCACAAGTAAAAAGTTAATCTTTGTATATGTAAAGATTTTTATAGGATGGAAATTACTTACTGACTTAGATCTTCAACTAACGTCATTAATATATTTTGAGATTTTAACAAATTCAAAAAAAGCATTAACAACTTTACCGCAAAAGGACAATCCAAGCTTCTGGCAATCAAAAATAGATACTTTGAACTATCTAAACCTCAAGCCAATGATATCAAGGATGTCCTCCTTGGTGAGCTTGTCATCTTCGGGCTTTTGAGGGGCGAGTGGAGGCTTTGAGGGCGCCGGAGTTGGAGCTGGCTTGTTGGGCAGGACTGGAGCCTTGGGAAGAGGAGCTGCGGGCGGAGCACTCTTTCGCTGAGGGGACTGATGTTGTTCCTTGATCGTGATCTGAAACTTGGGCTTGGCCTTTTCACCCGAAACCAACAAAAGTGCTGGTTTGGTTTCGTCGCTGGAATGTGGTGATGATGGAGGCTTCACCCAGCAGCGGTAGCCACCCATGGATACGCCATGTGGAGGTGGCTTGGAAAGCAGATCCTCACTTTCACTCTCAGACTCCACCACCATCTCCACTTTCTGCTCAGGCTGCTCCTCGCTCTCTTTTTTGATACTAAATGGAGTCAAATAGGTGAAGAGGTGTGGATAGCACAGCTGCTTGAGGTCGCAGCGGCACTCGATCTCCTGATCCTCCTCGACTTGCTCCTCCTCCTCCTCCACCTCCTCAAGCTTTTCCTTTGCCCTCAGCCTGGCCATCCTCTCGCGACTGCTTCCCCGGAGTGGACCCACCCAGCAGAAGTCCGTGTCGTAGTCCTCCAGTCCACTCTTGGACAACTTCTCGCCGAGATGCTCCTCCTCAGCAACACCATCATCGAAGGCAGGACGACAGGTGCAGATTTGGCCACAGGTGCAGGTGCACTCCGAGTCGCAGGAGAGATCCTCCTTGGAACAGGGCGGACACACCACGTCCATTGGGGGGAAGGGCACATGGTGCTCGGGGAAGTCTTCGTCCTCTTCGGTGAAGGGCAGCCAGCGGCAGATGTACGGACCTTGGCTACTTTCCGCAGTGATCTCCGGCCATTCCCGGGCCTCTCCTCCTTCCCGGCAGCATCGCAAATGGGGGCAGTTGCACTTGGGCTGGTCGGTGGAGATGGTGCTACTGCTGCTCTGAGGAGTCTGCTTCTGGGACATGGTCTGGTCGGCCTTCTTCAGGCTGTGATTGTGGCGAGAGGACGCCGAGCTGACCGCCGCCGAGGGCTTTTGAGTCCCCGTCCGAGTGGAGGCCTTCGAGGGGGCAGTACTCACGGCCATGTCCTGCCTGGCGTAGAGCACCTCCAACTGGGTGGTCATCGAGACCGTTTTGGACGGCAGTTGCGACTGGGTGGCCGACTTCTGTCCACAGTTGCAGGTCATGTCGTCGGCAAACAGGACTCGCGTTTGCAGGACATCGTGGAGGCCCTTGTAGACGCACTCGATCCGCTCCTCGAACAGCATCTCCTCGGAGTGCATCATTCCGGCCAAAACGGCGTGGATCTGGGCCGTGCGGCGAGCGGCATGCAACCAGAGGCATTCCATCTCGTGGGTCAGCTTATCCTGCAGACTGGCATAGTGAAGACCACCGGCACCTGTACCATGGTAAAAAGCCTAGCAGAGGAAGATACATAAAGGAATGGTCATTTTACCTATTAGGGGTTACTCTTAACAAAAGGTTAACCAACAAAACGGTAACTTATTCTTATTTATTCTTTATAGTAAAAAGATTTTACCACGAAAATGGTAAATCAACAAGGAAAGGTAAAGTAATCCAAAAATAATGAATGTATTAAAAATGTGTCGAATAGACATGATCGAAGCAATACCAAGTACCAGTTGGGAATTATAGGCACTCAAAGGGACAAAAATCTTGAAGTAATTAAGAACCAAAAATATATGGCTAAGTAACGTTCCAGTTACTATTTTTATAGTTGTATAAAAAAAAACTCAAATTATAAGATGCGACTATCAAACAGACAACTCACTTAGAAATAAAAATGTATTATGTTGATGGTCATTCTACTGAGAAATATGAAACTATGATGTGTTTATTTGTAGTTATCCAATAGTCTTAACCTACCTTAAAGGCCCGCTTCGTGATCGCATAGGCCATCTGGGAGTCCATGCGGGACATCTGCGCCTCGTGGGCCAGTCCGTGCAGGAAGCTCTCCTTGGCGAACCGCTTGCGCGGCACCCGGTCAATCCGCTCGAGAACTTCTTCGTAGTGCTGCAGCGACCGCTTGATGACCCCCGCACTCCGCTTCACCTCCCAAGGCTTCAAGCCGCAGATGCGCATCACCTTCATCACGCTGTCGGTGACGTCTTCGATGTCCATCTGGCGGTACTTCGCCACCAGTTCCATGTTGTCCTGCCCGCAATCCCGCCGCTCCGGATGGTGGCACGGGCACTTGGGCGGCTGTGGCGTCATAGTGCGCGACGATTCCAACGAAAACATTCTGACTGAATTTTGGATTTACGCTTTTAATTAGCTAATTTCGATTAAAATTCAATTATAAAGTTGAAAACTGTGTGTGGATCAGTAGGGTTCAAATTCCGATGGCTGATTCTATACCTACTTGGACAGACATTTCAATTTTGTATTAAGGTTTTGACATTCGGGAGAAACACGAATCTTCCTTTTTATTTAATTTTGAGATTTTATAAACGACAATACAAACTACTCTGAAAAATAAATTCAGAAAGGTACAGTACATTTTCCATTGGCTAGTGTTTTGTTATTAATAATTATAATGAATTACAATGTATTTTTAAGTCATATTTATAGATATGGAAGTGTCAAGAATCAGTTCAGTATAAGAATCAGTTTACGCAATTATTGCGTGTTTAAAGGAACTATTTGGTCAAAAAAGATTATTAAAGAATTTAAATAAAGACAAAGCCGGCCGTTGTGGTCTGTCAAGGGGCTGTCCATCGCTCCCCCAGCGACTGAATTCCGAGTCACCTGCCGCTGGGATTCGTCACAGGCGACAGATTTCCCGGACAAGTGCATCGCTGCATTTCTGACGTTCCGCGGTCGCCTCTCTTTGAATGCTCTGAGGTGGGAGGAAAATGCATATTTATCACGGATCCAGTACGCATGCTGATGTCGATATTTGTTTACCCAACACGATTTCTGTCCCGGCCGCGCACCGCGGTCTGAATGTTTGCTGCCTGATTTACTACTGTTAATTTGGAATACTTTTATGATGCATTCCAAACGGAAATGCACTGGGGACAAGATACACATTTCAACAAGCGACAGAGCAAAAACAACAAACAAAAGCGAATGACTCTATAACTCCTCCATTTTGTAGTGCTCTCTAAGGGAAGTCATTAGAAAACAATATCCATAGAGAGTTATAATGAACCATGAAGAAGTTTAGATACTCTATAAATTATTAAAGCTAATAGGATAGTTAATAATAACCAAAGTTCTCAAATTTTATATTCTATCACATGTAAAATATACAATTGTGTGAATTAAGATTACGCACTTCGAGAAAAAATTTAATTGAAAAATTGTATTTACCTTATGAACATTTTCACTTGTAATTTTAACACATATTTAAATTTATAAAGTTTTTTTTGATGGTCTTAAGGAAATAAATATTCCTTTAATTCATTTTGATGAAAACCGACTAGGGCTTTTCTTAAATACTCCAGACCATCCTAGTTAAGTCGGTGTTTCTTCGTATTATTTTAAAGTTTTACCATTTAAGTAGCTTATAAAACAAAATACAAATTTATTAAGGACAAATTCTATTAAAAAAACTACCTCCTTAACATAAATGCTTCAGTTAGTTACTGTCACTCTGGACACAACTCCATCAAGTTCTGTTCCGCGTAAAAAGTGAATCAAAGTCTGAACAAATATTGTCGCGCGGTCGTGACAAATATTTACATAGTTGGCGCGCCATCGATTCCCGGGGAAGGTGAAATGTGGTTCCCCGTGCCCAAAAATAAAATCAAATGAAATGAAAATACGACTGAAACAAAACGAGCAGCGGCGGAACGGAAAATGCGGGCACATTGACAGTGCGGGCGATTGATTTTTCCTGTGTTTGAATTTGAATTTGTGCTGCCAGTGCCCAAGTTTTAAAAACCGAGAGGGTCGTTTTCCGGTGCGATCTAAAATTAATGCATTGCAAATAGATGGCGCTGCAGTTGTCAGCCACGCGGATAGACAGTCCGTAAACCCAGGGGATGGGGCACCATTCGAGACGGACAGAATGAGTTTAATTGTTGACCTTAGCTATTAGCCCCTGTCAAGGGGCTTTTCCTCAGTCCCAGTTCCAGTTGTACATTGTTTTATGGACATGGACACTGACACACAGTGGAGTACACATACATACATATGTATGGATCTTTGTGCCCTCGCAATTTATATGCGAAAAACACAACGCACATTTGCGAATGTTTCTTAGAATCCACTTCAGACGCTCAAAAACGCTTTGGAATGCAAAGTGCGCTGACTGACAATCGGAGTTTCAGAGCTCCAGAGTTTCTTTGTCGGCTGTGGGGCTTCACGATTTATAATCGCATTTGTTTATGTTGCAGAAGCAGTATTGTTTTTGATTTCTGTTTCCCGCATTCCGGGCAATGTGCAGCTCATTATTATGGCCTGTGCATCGCCGGATTGTGAAATGCGTCAGGGAATTGATGAGTAATAGGTATGTGTTTTATAAAACACACTACCCTAGGGACCCGACCTGCTATTAATGATAATATGATGCCATCCTATAGACCTATAAAACATTTTATGGGGAAGCACCGACAGGTTATTTCAACGGGTTATGCTAATCATCGAGAGCACTTACTGGGTTTATACTTAATAGCATTCTAATACCATGTTGTAGTACTGATTCTACAGTTGGGATAAACGGATCGCTTAGAATGTCACACTATATTGCCAGTTTTATGTTTTTTTCTTTTGTAAAGTTATCAACTGGTGCAGAGTTACGTAAGTGGAAATATACAAAAAGCTAAGAAAAAAAAGGAATAATATTTACCTATACATATGTTTTAAATTTTGGTTTTTCCTTATATAATCCACAGCTTTCGCTGTACAAAAGTGTCGTTATGGGAACGAATCCTGCCTGGTTGAGAGCCTCAATGGTTATATTCGGACTTTTGCCAAAGGTGTCCCGTACTGGGCTACAGAACTTTCGACAAGGTCCTCATTCCGGATCTTGTGGTATATAACTGCTCACATGAGCTGCCTGTTTGGTTGACGTTTACTGTGAGGAATCAAGTGCTAAAAGGTCTGGAGAACTCTACAATACTTTCCGTTAAAGGATTCGATCGGGATCCCACAAAGAACATGATTATAATAAGAGCATACCACGAATGGAACTGGAGGGGTCTTACGATTATCAGATTAAGCTACTTTTCTTTAGATTCGGTGGCACTGGATCTTTTAAATCCGATTTGCAGAATGTTCGTCTTACCATCATTTTTAAAACTTACTTAGAGTTTCGGAATGAGAAGCGTCATCTAAAGGTTTATGACCTAGAGTCCCAAGTAGAGTTGGATCGCATTATAGTTTGGCTGGATAATCTTTCCGCCGAGAATTCGGATCTCACCATTGCTCTAAATAAAGTGCTTAATGATCGTTGGGTGGAATTCTGGAACGATATCGAACCCAGCTTCTTACCATTCATAAACCAAATGGGTGTAAATAAATTACATCGGTTTCTCAACCACTTCTCATATGACGATATGTTTCTTAAAGATGATTTGTAATAAAGATAATTTAAAACGAGTAATCCCATCCGTAAACACATTATTTATGCAAATGCATCAGATCGTGTTGCAATAATAATGTGATACATAAATAATAATACGTATTTAAAAGGTAATGGTTTTGCAGTTTGTAACACTTTTAAATAGTGATTAATACTGGTCGAATTGAATAACATTTCTGGTGGGTGAAGTACTCTGGTTGCAGGGCTCCATTTCCAGTGTCTCAATCAATGCCAGAGTCCCTCGATTCCCATGGAGACTTCAATTTATCATGCTGGATCTTGATTAAAAGTCCGCACCCGCACACGAGTTCTCCTCAGAAGATGGAGGGCCCCAGACAAGCCAATTATAGACAGTCAAAGCCCCGTGAAGATGCCAGCGATCCGATGAAGATCCGCGGGCTGAGGCTGAGCTGCTGCTGAATGAAAACGAAATGGAAATTATAATGCGAGCAGCAGCAGCAACACATAACAACTGCAATAAAGACATCAACAGTTCGGGGCATCAAAGAAGCGGCTAGGCAAAAAAACGAAAAGGAAAATGCAGCACAGAAAGGGGAAAATCTCTTATGAGATTTCCAAAAATAATATTAAAATTAGCAACCAGGCGCAGCAAATGGTTTGGTCTTCCCTTCGGCTGCATTTGCTGCCCCATCCAACAATAAATCCGGATCCACAGGCACGTCCTCAGTTTCAGGAGGAGTAGATCAATCAGAGCTTAGTGCCAGTAATTAGGAATGATAAATGTTCGATTTGCAGTGCAATATGGATGGGTTATAAATAAACAGACAATGAAAAAATGGTGTGTGTTGATAAAAAATCAAGAAAAGCTAGAGAAAAGAACAAAATAGGACGCTGGGAACGATGAAATTGATAGAATCGATTGAGTTATTTATGGAAGTAGAGGATTTAGTTCAGTAATTTTACCGTAAAGCCCATCATTCTGCAATGCTTTCAAACTTAAAATTGTTTGGCGAGGGCCTTGGTTTCCTTATTAGATTTCTTCCAACCAAAAACTGCATTGTGGCAGCCCACTCTTGTAAGGCCGTATATACCTACATATATGCTTACCTCGCCGCGTTCACACGCTCGATCCGATTTCGGCCAACAAACACAGACATCCTTCGGCTGGGGGTAATAATGTTAGCGCCATATTTGACCGCTCTGTTGGCCTTATCACGCCGAGCATACTAGCCAGCTCAAGTGACCACCACAAAGTTGCCTGACCGCAGCACAGTGGGGTAGATGCCAAAATTAATCGCATTTTAAATAACGATTTCAGCAATTTATGTTACAGGATTTTTTCTGTTGCATTACGCAATGTTTGTTTTCATATAATTGGTAAAAGTTAACATAACAAATTGTATATTTACATAACAGAACGCAAACAACCTAGAAAAAATGTTCATTGATCAAATTCACTATTAAGTAAATTAGTATTTGTTTTGGGGGCTTATAAAAAAGTACTTTTTTTTATTTGTAAACGGAATTTATTACATTCCACTATTTTTAAAGCGCTAGTCACAGCTTTGTATTTATCTCTAGAATATAAGTATGAAGAGGTGAAACTCTAAAACTATTTCACACTGATTGTTGATCAATAAAAAGGAAAAAAATAAAAACAAGTTTTTTAATGATTTTTAATATTTTATTGTATAAATAAATGCATATAAATGCAAGTACCAAGCTGCTTCATTTTACTTTACGTAAATATGCTCTCTACAAAATAAATATCAAGCGTATAACCCAATTTTTTTGAGACTTATTTACTTGCCAATTTCATTTGCTTTCAACAAACTATTTTTTTTT